ATTAAAAAGATCATTTTCAGAAATATTACTATATGGGAAATTTTGAGTAATATGATCGAATGATTTTTGCACATCATTCCAGTACTGTCTGCTAAATTCAAGAAAATTTATGCATTTATGAAATAAATAAATAAATTACTTACCTAAATTATCTGAATGGCTGATTTGTTGACATCACTTGTATAACTAGCAGTAGCACGCAGTATGATGTGTATCGTCTGAGAGACAGTTACAAAATGTTTTCGTCGTTGCCAATGCCATAAAATGCCATTGTTCATTAGGTCCAAACTATAGTGGTCAAATTTTAACAACTGATCAACAATGTGAACGTTGATAAGCAGTTCTCAACAATTATTTGTTATTATTGAAGTTTAACATTATAAAATTAACAAAAATAATATAAAACTCATATCTTGGTGAAATAGCCACATGGCACCTGAAAACCGTGTATTCCCTTTCCGTTCTCCCGCCGTTCCCTAGCTTGTTGTGCATTCTTTCCAAAAATCGGGACTTTTAAAAAACGCCAAGGGACGCAGGACAAATTGTTAAAAATCGGGGCTGTCCCGCCAAAAGTGGGACGTCTGGTCACCTTACATATCAGGGGCGGCCTGGTGTCTTCTTCCCTCTGTCACTTGGCCGTGGTGGCCTTTGCCCTCCTTGAGGCTCCTACTGAGGGCAGTCCTCTATGCCTACTTGATTCTCAAAAGCAAGGACCCCAGCCCCCACCCCCACCCCGTCAATCCCATCTCAAAGACCCTGCATCCGCTCAGTGCGCCCTTCACTCTGCAGCCTGAGGGAGCACCGAGTTTCCGGCACTGGTGGCAAGATACAGCAGGAGCCCCGGGAAGGAGACGGCCGGGACCCTCATAGGTCCAAGAGAGCAAAGTGAAGTAACCACACTCCCGTCGCTGCGTCCTCCTGACACAGGGTGGCCCTGTGGGACCGGCCAGGGCCCTGGGAAATCCCGATATGGGGACAGTTCCCCTACCGTAACCACAGGAGGTGACCTCTCCGTCTCAACATGGGACTGGCCCTCTGTCTGCTTCTCCCCAAATGCCCGATGGCCACCGGACTCAGGGCGTGGCGAATGGTAACCAGTTGACGTCACGTTCCCATTGGCTTCTTTCTGTCGTCTTGAGCGAAAGAACGGTTGCCCATCCCAAGGGACTGGTCTTGGAGACACTCGGAAGACTCACGTGGATGCCCGGACGCCCCTCCATCCCCACTGGTGTCCAGGTAAGAGTGTGCAGCACCGCGCACCCGCTCTGGCATCTCCAGACACCCTGCACAACGTCTCTCAGAGAAGGAACTGCTCTGGGGCCGTGGGGCCGTTTACACGGCTCTGAGGGGTCCAGGAGATGTCAGGAGGCGAAAGATGTCAGACACTCAGAGCAGCCCAACAAACGCTGACTGTGCCCGTGAAGTTCCGCTCTAGGAACAGTGGTCCCATCATTCTCGAAGGGGATGAGGTTAAGGGTGTTCCCAAAGAAGAGGCGCAGGACAGGATGTGGAAGGGCGCTGGCGGTCAGCTGGCAGTCCGCATGAGCATCAGCCGTCCACTCACCGCAGCCCATTCCCTCCACGCGCGCCCTCCAGTTCTGACGGAAACGTTCGTCTGCATCTAACCCGACACCAATCAAGTCTCTGGAAAGCACCCTGTTCCGTCACTCTGACTGGCTGAGAACAAGTGTTCAAGGCACTCAGCCTGAACTTGTTGGCTTCCATATCTGTGAAGTGTATCAAGTTGGTTCCAGTCCACAGCGACCCTGTGCCCAGCAGAATGAAACACGGCCTGGCCCGCGTCCTCCTCGCCATCCGTCCTGTGTTCGAGCCCATGGCTGCAGCCGCTGTGTCCGCCCCTCTCAGCAAGGACCTTCCTCTTGTTCACTGCCCCTCCACGGTACCAAGCAGGACGTCCTTCTCAGGGACTGGGCTCTCCTGACCGCGTGTCCAATGTATGCAAGACAGAGTCTCACCATCCTTGCTTCTCAGGAGCGATCTTGTACTTCCAACACAGCTTTGTTTATTCTTTCGGCAGTCCACGGTACTGCCAACAGTTCTTCACCAGCGCCCCAACCCAAACGCAGCTCTCCCCCTTCGGTCCTCCTTATTCCGTGTCCAACTCTCACATGCATGTGAGGCTGGAGAAATCACCATGGCGTGGGTCAGGCTCACCTCAAAGTAACATACTCTAAACTAACATCGCTGTCGTACTCTAAAGAGGTCTTGTGCAGCAGATGTACCCAAGGCAACACCTCTTTTGAGCACTGACTGTGGGCCAGGGGAAAGATGAGACAGTTGGCTCCCATATGGATGTGCAGTCTGGGAAGCCACGGGGGCGCTCTCCTCTGTCTACAGGGTGGTTTTGAGCCTGCGCCAACCCGAGGGCAGTGGGAGAAGGGTGAAACCAGGATACCCCAGCTGCCGTCCCTGCTGCTGACTGGTCTGTCAGAGCGAAACTGGCCATAGAAGCTTCTAGAACAGCGGTTCTCAACCTGTGGGTCATGACCCCTTTGGGGGTCGAACAACCCTTTCACAGGGGTCACCTCAGACCATCAGAAAACACATAACTATTTCACAAGATATAATTACATATTGTTTTGTGATTAATCACTATGCTTTAATTATGTTTAATTAGGTTCAATTTGTAACAATGAAAATACGTCCTGCCTATCAGATATTTACATGATGAATCATCACAGTAGCAAAATGACAGTGATGAAGCAGCAACGAAAATAATGTTATGGTTGTGGGGTCACCACCACGAGGAACTGTAGGAAAGGGTGGCGGCAGGAGGAAGATTGAGAACCGCTGCTGTCGGCAGTGCGGGTCAAACAGCCGACTTTCCAGGTACGAGTCGGGGTGCTCCACTGGGCGAGCCCACGTGTCTGGGACCGCCCTCTTAGGGAATGAAGGCGTGGCGTGGAGACGGACACCCCAGATGGTTATCCAGGTCCAGATGTAGCTCTGCCTCAGAAGACGGCCAGAGGGCTCCTTAGAGGCCAGGATGGCCAGCGAGACTTTGTCTTACATGCTTTGGACATGTTGTCAGGAGAGACGGACCAGTCCCTGGGAAGGACGTCATGCTGGGGAAAGCAGAGGGGTCCGTGAAAGAGGAAGCCCCTCGAGGAGCCGGCCTGACTCTGTGGCTCCGAAGCGGCAGCGAGGGTGAAGCTCTTCTGTTGGACTTGTATTGCTGAGAGAGCCCCACTGACTGGGTGGTACCCAAGGACACACGTACGTACGTATGTATGAAGATACAATGACAGCAACTTGTCACCCAGTCTCCCGGTGCTCAGAGCAGCCCGAATGGCCCCTGGTCCCCAAGGCTGTGGCTCTTCATGGCCGGGGACGGCCACCTCTTTCTCGTGGAGCTGCTGGTAGGTCTGAATTGCCAGTTTGCAGCCGAGCGCTGACCACGGAGCCACCAGGGCTCCTTTGGTGACAATACATTTAAAAAGAAAAACTCACTGCCATCAATTGGATGCTGACTCATGGCGACCCTCTAGGACCAGGTAGCACTGCCCCTGTGGGTTTCCGAGACTGTCACTCTCAGACAAAGGGAGTAGAAAGGCTTGTCTTTCTACCCAGGAGCAGCTGGTGGGTTTGAACTGCTGACCTTTCGGATTGCAGCCCAGCACATAACCACTCTACCACCACTGACAACCCTATGGGGCTGTTCTGCTCAGCCGAGTGGACTCCCTGAGAATCGGGATTGGTGGGGACCTCTGGGCATCATTTCTGAAATATTTACAAACTGTTTGCCCAGTAGAATCACAAGCACCATGGACTTCCTGAAAAACAGACAACCCCCAACGTAAAATGTTGATCTCAGATAAACCGCTCACTCACTGAGCAAATATTTGGCCTCCTCGGGAGCAGACGCTTGTAGCCGTAATTGGCCCGAACCGTGGGTGTTGGTATTGCATGTGCTTCCCTCACCCTTCACCCCTCACCCCCCACTTTTCTTTTTTGCGGCAATCCCCATCATGTGAGACAGCAGCTTCCTGAGGACGCCAAGCAGCTCACGTGACGACCCAGCACGTCCCAGGCAAGGGCGAGGGGGAGAAGCCCTGCTCTGATGGCCTCCAGCTCCCCTGAGGAGAGCCAGGAGCTGCTGTCCACTGGCTATCAATGGCCAGTAGACCATGACAGTCCTCCTGACCCCGGGCAGGTGACAGCCACGCAGCAGGTCTGACCATGTCCTCACAGAGCGCCTCCAGCCAAAACATCCAGGCCACACTGGCTGGAGCTCCGACTCTTCCCAGGGGGACCTTGGAGATGAACTTCTA